TTCATTTAGACCTAGTTGTTTTATGTTCGCTAGGAGGTTTTTGGGAATAACACCAGTAGTAGATAGAACAATAGGTAGTGTCTGGGTACTTTCCATTCTCCATTGTCTCCTGATTTGTATTTCTAGATCTCTGTACTTGGCGATCTTTTCGTTGTATTTAACAACTAAATTATTGGTGTTGGGTATCGCCACATCAATAAGTGTTGTTTGTCTAGTAAGTTTATTAACTAGTATGAGATTATGAGATAACTAGATGAGATGAATATTATTATTATTATTATTATTATGGTTTACAATTTACATGTTAGGGAGAGCGCCCACCAAAGTGGCGTGGCAGTGGCAAGTAGCAAGTAGCACGCGTCTAGCATAATGTAACCAATGAAAACGAATGATTCAGCGCTCACCAAAATGATAGTGACGTCATTCATTCTAATAATTTTTTTTTATTGGTTACATTTAAAAATAACATGCTAAATGCGTGCTACTTGCTACTTGCCACTGCCACACCAGTTTGGTGGGCGCTCTCACTTATGTTCAAAATTTAACATAAAAAAAAAATCGATGGGATATTTGAGGCAAGGGTTTATCCTCTACTAACTTTTGCACATTTATATCTATGCTAATCGTAGTGAGTCTAATAGACGCTTCCAGAGAATCGTTTTCCATGCGATTACGTGTTTTAGATTTAATATGCTTCAAAGCAGAAAATGTACTTTCACATATACGTACTACCAAACGTTGAATATAGTTTCAACGCAAAGTTACGAAATTTTGGAAAACGATCCTTGGAGACTTAACTTCCAAAAGGTACTAACGTCTCCATTTTTCTTTGCTTGAAAAAACTCCGAAGATCGGGTTTTAGTGCATCAAATTCCGAAAACCTTTCATCGAATTCTCTTTTTATTTCTGTAAGAACTTTTGCAAACCTCTAGAAATCAACCGTGGTATCTTCTTGATTTATTTTAGAAACACGCAGGAAAATGTGTGAAGGCGTTTATTTTCAGTTCTCTAAAATATCAAGTTATTACGAATTGTCTCAATTTGGCCAATCAACTGTGATACTTGCTTATTTTTCCCCTGGAGTTGTAGGTTTAATGTGTTCAAGTGAGAGGTAATGTCTGTTAGAAATGCCAGTTCATGAAGAAATGTTTTGTTCTTAAGCTTTTAATGTGTTAATAACAATTTCCGTTTTAAAAAAACATTAAGATGTCTTAGTCCCGTTATTGCTTTTGCTCCGTCGGTGCAAACGCAAGAACACTTTTGAAAACCGCCTATATGTTTCACAGAGTCACTAACTGCTTCAAATATATTTATGCTTTTGGTCCCGTCTTCCATGTGGTGCAGTTTTAGAAGTTCCTCAGTTACACAAAAATCTTCACTGATTAATCTAACAAAAATTAATAGCTGATTTTTGTCAGTAATATCAACAGTTTCGTCCAGGACTAAGGAGTAGTACAAACAATCACGAACTGTGTCGACCATTTTGTTTAAATACATGAGTATTCGGCTCACTAACTGTTCTAGATACAGTTTGATGGGAAACTGAAACACATTCAACATTTTTGGCCATCTTTTCACCTCTAAAGGATCGCGCCATTTTAACGGCACACCGCTTGATCATTTCTCCATCTCTAAATGCTTTTTTAATTTTGACAAGCTCTAAACCTACTTCATATGATGCTGCTAAGCTTGATGATTGAACAGTTGTCGGTTTTGTAAATAGAGATTTTTGTTTATTCAATTTAGCTTTAAGTTCTTTTACAAGAGTATTGCGAGCTTCACCTTGATATTTGTTTTGTGCTGGGTTTCATAATGCCTACTAATATTGTATTCTTTTGATACCGCGAGTACTTGACAACAATTCAATGAGGTTGTACCACACTGGTACAGACAAAAGTGCTATTGTTGCAACAAAACGATGAAGTATATATTGTCCATTTTTCCTTAAAATTTTAAACATTCTATATCTTTGATGTCTTTATTGGAGATATTGTATTTTTGTAAAATAAAAACAGATGGTCGCTATCTTTATCTGGACTCTCCTTAGGTGCTTTAATATTTTTAAAATAATAAAAAATTTATCATGAAATGACACTAAGTGGTTGTTAGTTAAAGGAGGTTCGACTGTATTTTATTTAATGAAATTATCTTTCAAAGATTTGTCATAATTTTAAGACAAATATTTAATTTATTTTACACCGTTGTTAATACTAAATTACTGTGATAAAAGATCTAGCCACTTATTTCTGAAGCTCTTTGTTTTCGGTGTAACATTAAATTAAAATTAGATTAAAAGAAATAATCGGCCGGATTTTAGACTGCAATATGTACAGCCTAGCGTTGTTTCCTTCAATGTTCTCACTCTTATAATTGAGCAGCCCAAATTGGCAAAAAAATATTCGCTTCTGCGTAAAATTCTTTTAAAATTATATGTTATCAATAAAACGTTCCTACAGGAAAACAAGTACAAAATGGCATGCTCCGCCACTCCGAGTATTTCCACCAAAAAAGATAAACGTAGTTGCATCGACATCATTCACGGTGCCAATTCCATATTATTTGGAATGTCCCTTGAAGATGCAACGAGAGTTGCCCAAGAGGTACATTTTACTAGTTTTGAAAATATAATCGATACACTGGCGCCATCTGGTAACGTTAGGTGTTGTGTTTTCGGTGTTCTAACAAAATTTTAAAACTAACAGCCACTTCTTTAGTACAATCTGTAGAACGTCACACTGAACTTGACTTACAGTGTTGTATTTTTAAAACATTGTCCGTATATTTGCTGATAATTATCTTTAAAATATATGAGTACATGATAAGTATTCAGTTATTCCACATGTTTTTTATTAATAATATTAATAAAGTAAAATATTTTAAAAATTATAATTGTTTATTAGACCAAACAATGTATTGTAACAAATGGAAGAGGACTCTGCTTATGCTTTAGCTTTAATACATTATGTGTATTTAAATTTTTCGATTGGCATGCGCGTGACTATATATCCAGAATCAATACACGAGCAGTCATAATGAAAAGTTTTTTTGCATAGCTCGTAGATTGGCATTGTTGCAAACAAAATTTATTTTTTTATAAAATAAACTTTAGCCCGTCCGGCATAAAATTCTCCTTTGTTTTGAATAGAGTATCGTCAAGAAATATTCATCCAAAGTGTGACGGGTAGCTCAAGATAAAAATACGTTTATTGACGTTTCAATTTCCACTTCAGAAATCGTTCTCAAAATACAAACAGTAAATTTACTGTTTATCTTTTAAATGTCAATCCTAGCGACGACGGTATCGACGACTGTTTAATACCTGCTAAAAATAAAATATAATTAATGTCATAAAAATCAAAACGAAAATACGATGTGTCAATACATACACTAATGAGAAGAAATTATGGGTTAGGGTGGACAGATCGATTAACAAGTCGATCTGTCAAAGAGCGACTAATCAACACTTAGCCACGGACAGGCCTGTCTCAGATCAAAGACCAGTAAGGAGCTGCCACTAATCAACACTCCAGCAGAAGTGGTTGGCCTTCGGTCAACGCAATAGGACCAGTGGAGTTGTTCCCAAATCAACACTTTTATAGAACTGCGGATCCGAACGGTTGGCCTTTGGTCAACACCCAAAGGTCAGGTGAAGTTCCCACCCGATCAGCATTCTGGCGGAACTCGATTCTCTCTTGCGAGATACGCTGTTTTACACCATTATGTCTTCCATCTTCTCTAGCGCGCATCGATGGAAGTGGAACTTTACGGTAGGAGTGCGTGCGTACGGAGCTTTGGCGGAACGGTGGCGATAGCTCTTGAAGTCATGACAAAAATGTAAAGAAGTGACGCCGTCGTAGGACACCCCCAACCAAACCATCACTGAGGCAGGAAAATGTTCTCATTTGATCATTGGAATCAGTTTGCAGACTTCTTTGGATGTTCGTGCGTAAACTATATCGTTGTGCTTATTGAAAGTTTTCTCCAAACTATTTTTTTTTATCTGTAGCGACAAGCTAATTACGAATAATTAAAGTTTTGTATTCAAAAATTAAATAAAACAATCTCATATTAAAATTTACATTTTCGCACTTGGTTATACATATAATAGAAATTAAATAAAAATTGAAATATGTTATAAATTGACACTTTAATTATACATTTTGAGTGCGTTGCATTTTTATGGGAAACAAAATATAATATAGCGACCAGCCCTATAATAAAAGTTTATTTTATTTTTTTTTTATTAATTCAAAATACGTGCTGTATTCCACACTTACGAAGAGCAATGACAGCAATGGCAGGTTCTCTTTGTCTGTCAACTCTATCGTAACGCCCCATACTAGACTGGAATGTTTCGGCGTGTCTATAGTGTACATTTCAACAGTCGGTAATGTCAAAGTAACTTTTAGCTGCGTTCAGTTTGTCAGCCGTACAAACTACGTTTACACTTGTATCAATATTTTTGATAGGACTATGTATAGGGTTTAATGTTCCATTAAAAATAACCAAGTTGTTGACGACTTCTGCTATCACCGGAAGTGAAAACGAGCTGTCAATATTGTAGACGTATACGAGTAGATTAGTTACAGTTACGCGGGCTTATATTAAGAGGTAAGTAGTCTACGTGATACACAGAATAAAACATCCTTTTAAGGGAACATAATTATATGTAAGTAGTGGGTGTATCAATGTACGTGCGCACGTGTGTTTGCGGAATGTGAGTGGTTGTGCGTTAAGATACTTAAATTTGGGGTATGGAAAAGCAGCAATAGTTTGTGTTTTTAGGTTCTTTTTATATACAAAAATAAGTTTTATGTTCAACATTTCGTAGTGGTATATCATTGTTTTAATTAGTAACTGTTCTAATGATAATGTCAATTCTAACACCAACTAACACTATTCCTGCAGCGAAATAACAAACTCTTAACCGACCAAGCTATGTTTTGGTGGCGGTAGGTCAAAAACTTTAGTATCAAGAATTATTTCGATGTCAATTTTAGTACGAAGCACTGGCTGCATCGCAAGCAGTTTCAGATACTCTAAAGGGAGCGGCTACGGAACATTACACGGAATCAGGATTCGATCAGCAATCCTCCTCTCAAGAGATATCGGTATACGATTGTATATATTAATAGAATGTAGAGTTCATGCATCGTCCGCCTAGAGAACTAAACGTGACATTTATTCACTACAGCTATATTAATATAAAGTTTGCCATCAAGTATTCACATATTTGACAATATTATTGCGTTTTTCCTGATGTAAAATTTGAGCTTTATTTCGAAGCGCTGGTATACCCATGATACTATAAATGACAAGATAGCGTAATATCGGTAGTGTACGACGTCATTGGAGAGTAGAATTTGAAATGAATGACAAGATGCATTTGAGATGAATTGAGGTTTAATAATTACAATAATCGTACACATAAGGATATCTCCAAACTATTTATTAAATGTGCAATATACAAATTAAACTTCAATGTATTCGAAAACATTTTAGTGTTACAATAAATTGGTTTTATTACAGGTAATTAATCACTATAAAATAATATAATAGGTTATTTCAATACATGTTACCAGTGTTCCTGTCTTCGAGCATTGTGAAAAAGGTCAAGGTTTCTGAAAAAATATATTTCTCTTTCCATGGCCGACCCAGGAGGCAATACCTTTATGATAATGGACATAAAAATATTGGAGGAAATAAGGCCTCGTTAAGGTTCCCGGTTAAAGATTAGAATATACAAAGTCATATTAAAATATTTAACCGGCCTTATTTGCACTATTTCCCATTTAAGATTTTATTTTTTAAATGTTAGAATATTTTGATCACCAACATCAACAACTCAATGTGACAAAATTTTCAAAAGTTTAAAATGAATGAAGAATTAATTCTTGATCACGTCTAATCGGGGATGAAACTTAAAATTAATTGTCTAAAAAAATTACTGTAATCCAAATAGAAAATACTGACCACTGGTGTTTTTTGTAATCATTGAATTATTGTATTTTATTTTCGTTTGCGTGTCCTGGCAGTCTCTTTCAACTCAATATTTGGTTTTCTAATTCTAAGATACAAACGATTTCTAAAAAAAGTTGTTTAACACTTTCATCTAAATTGACATTTTCAGCAAGTTCGTATAATTTTTTTAAATAAAATTTAGATATTTTCAACGAACTTTTATTTACTGACAAACATATATTTTCTAATTCATTTAATTTTGTTATCATCTCGCTAGATGGTTTCGATACTCCCCCTTCTGATAGATGGTCTACCCATGTAAAACCTTCTGACGATTCTACATTTTTAATTTATGGCATATATATCAGCCCAAATTTTCCAAGCCATCATAATTAAATTCTTCGAATTCCTTGTTTATTGTATATGTCATGATTTTGAACTTCTGTTTTTTTTTTCAATTTTTTAAATCATTAATCGTTGAGGTTGATATCAATTGTTGGCAAATCAGGAGTTGCATCTTCTTCGGTGTTTCCAGCCGTTGACAAATTGCCTTCATTTCTGCCTATAACCTAGTTTTTTAAACGATTTTTAAATTCTAACGCAACTGGAACATCATTAAGTTCACCTTTGGCACGTATTACTACAAAAAAGTTTTCTAAAATGTCTCGATTCAACCTATACGTCAAAATATATTTAAAACCAAATCGTTGTTGTATGTCTGTAAAAAGCATTTTCAATGCATTATTTGACATGAAAATATCTAAAATAACACAAAATAACTATTTTATTCAAACTAGGTAATTTTAATATATTCGCTAACCATTTTGGAACGACCTAAGTGATTTCCTTTTTCTAACTCTACAATTCGACATCACGTCATTCATTCTATCTAAAATGGCAATGTGTTCATCTAATGCTAACCCAAAAGCCTGCTCTGGGGCTACTGTCTTGTGCTGGTAACTTCTGATTTAACAAATAATTAATCTAAAATAATTGCATTATTAAAATTTTAATACAAAATAATTAAGTATTTACCAATTTAAAAAATTGTGCAACATTCTATCCAATTTAAGTTGTCGATATAACCAAGACTTCCACATCTTGAGATGGCTTTAGAAATGGTGTGCGAAAATAGTTTTGCTGCATATTTCACCTTTTGTAGTTGAAATCCCTGAATATTCATCAAACTTTTCGTCATTTTGTGTGTTATCGACAAATCAGTACTGTTTGTTCGTTATAAAACTACTTCAACGATATATTTTGAGAACTATTTTCCATTAATATTAAATCCAAAGTCCACAAAATTGTTTCGGGTTAATTTTAATAAATGAGATAGATCAGCAAATACATACCTATACTTTTTGTCCGTTCGTAGGGTTTTCAAACCGTGATGGTTTTTCTAAAGAGCCATTTAGTTCTGTATGCAAGCGTTTACTTCCTGGTCCCAGATCACTACCTATACCAACAATTGGAAATCCGGAGGATTCAGCGAATTCAATAAAAAGAATTTCTTTGGTCATGCGGCAATCATAATTATAAAAAATTGGTTGTTTTCACTTTTCAGATAAACCACGTATCATCGCCACCTGTACATAATTGAAGGCTTTTAATGGCTTTTTACTGACGGAAAGGGATATCCTTTCTTCAATAACAGTCTGTACGCTTTTGGTCCAGCTGAATGAATTACGATCCTCTTTGATATCTCTTCTACAAACCAAGTAATTGTTTTTATTGCTTCATTTTGCTGTTCAAGTAACCTGTTCTTTTTTTTAACTTCATGAAGCTTATTTTTTCAGACTTTGCAATTCCTCATTAACATTTCTGAAAATTCTAAAACAAAATATTAATTACTTAAGTTATTAGATAGTTGAACAGTGACGGATCTAGACATTTTGTCTAAATCCGTCACTTCCAATTAAACACCAACTCAAAGAAATAAAAAAGATAAAACTAGATAAAAAAAATATAAATAATTTTATTTCCTGTTTCTTTAATTTTGGACCGTTTTGGGTGAGAGGGAATTTCCCCATTCCCCCGTTTGTCCGCCATTGTAATTAAGACTTGGTTTAGTGAGTATAGCAGTAGGTATTTTAGTGTCGGCTCTGAACAACAGTATTTATCGAAATTTTATATTTTATGTCACGTTTAGTTCTCTTGGTTTCATTACATTTTTCCCTAATAAACATGTAAAAATACCAAGGGTTACATTAATACATTTTGATAAACAACACAAGCCATCTAGGGATGTATTTTTTAAGTTAAGGTAGATTTTTATGTTTTTTAATAGGACATATTCACCAAAGACAGATTGATTTATCTTCTACCAAGATGTTGCAGATTTTTTTTCCTTTAAATATGTGTGATAGTTATATTGTTATAGTTTTACACTGTTTATATGTTTTAAAACTGGTTAACTTTGAAATAAATACTCAATGTCAAATGTAGCATCTCTTATGATAAATAATAATGTCTGTTACTATTATGATTATTACTTTTTTCCTAACTTACTAAGTGCATAGTAGCTAAAGCTGAATATATAAGCTGTATAGCAGATGAATTAATTCGTCGAGATAACATTGATTGAATCTTGAAGACTAAACACATTCTAGGATGAAATGTGTTCTTCATGTATTACTTGTGAATAGCATTGTAATTGTGTTGAATTTTACGTTAAGTCGACTATTTCTATGTGGTCTGAAATGTAGTGTCCTCAAACTCTTACGATTAAAGAAAAATAAAACCTGTAAATTCTGTAAAAATTCTCCATAAATGAGCTAGAGCTTTTTGAAGAAGCTGTAGCTATATCATTGTCCAATACGGCACGAGAGTATTTTGTAAAAATACTAAAGTGAATATTACATTATTAGATAATTTGATAAAATAGTTTTAAATAATAAATTTGATTACTGTTAAACGATACAATTTCTGTAGTGTAACTTTTCTCAGGTAATCCCCTTCATTAAAATGCTTAACCCTTCTGCTTCTGGAATGTGATCTACCATTTTAGTTAAAGATTTTGCCTATCTCGTTGTTTGAAAAGGTAAACCTAGACTATTATTTTGATCATGAAATATAGAAAAAGTAGCACTGCGATGTCCGTCCAATAACGTGACTATTGTGTCTGAAGACTAAATTGGTACTACAAGGATAGTTGAGCCTCTTTGAGATTATTGCTAACTGTTGCCGTTACCTCTGCAATATTCTTCCACCTCAATCTTGGCCTATCCAAAGGTGGCTTGCCCATCTCAGTAAGATCACAAAGTTTTAACGCCTTCATATCTGGTTTTAGTTTTCTTGTACTATTTGTTCTTTCCTCAGGCTATACAGTCACTATTTATCTCTTGTATGTACTTGCTCGTGAAATCTTTATACCAAACCATGTCTTTTAATTAAACTCCAAGATAAATATTTTATGGTATATTTAAGGATTTCTTATGTCTGTATCTTCTACAACTGTTATATCAGATAAATACATAATTGGCTCCCATCCTTCAAATTTAGTCTCCTAATTTTTTGTATCGTCAGCTTATTAGCCCTATGTTTCTTCAGTATATGTCTTAAGTCAGCATAGATTTCACTTCGGTCACCTGTGTGAAAGTGTTTGAGTTGACTGAAAATTATTACTACGTTAAAAGGGAGGCAAGCCAGAATATCCCCCCGTCGTAACTTCATACGTGTTTCAAAGGTTCACGAAAAATCTTCCTTTATTTGAACTCTCTCTGAAGTCACTACACTCCCAGCGATCTGGAATACGGCGACGATATCTGCACATCTGTTATGACAAAGGTTCCAAGATGTGGCTGATCCACATATTCCAGTCAAATATCATGTCTATTCTACTCTACGGATGCGAAACCTGGAAAGTGACAAAAACTCTTACAGATAAACTGCAGGTCTTTATTAATAAATGTCTACGACGAATTGTTCGTATTTTCTGGCCTAACATCATCAGAAATGAAGATCTACTACACCTGACCGAACAAAAAAGGATAGAACATCAAATAAAGTTCAGAAAGTGGAGTTGGATTTGTCACACATTCAGATAAAATAACTCCAGCATTGCAAAGATGGTCCTAGAGTGGAATCCACAAGGAAGAAGAAAAAGAGGTCGCTCAGTACAAACTTGGAGAAGATCCAACATGGACGAGATAAGAGGTCAAGGAAAGTTTTGTAATGAAGTGAAGGTCTTGACGCAAAATAGAACCCGATGGCGCGTTTTCACTAATGCTCTATGCTTCACTTTTCACTGGATAAAAATTCTATTAGTAAAAATCCAGTTGGAATCTAATCGTTATTGCTTTCTGATCATCACAATGATCAATAAACAAGTTAGTTATATCCTAATTTAAAAATACAGGAGACTTATGCAAGGTTACATTCACCAATAATCTTTAGGCCCTAATACATAATAACACCACTAACTAGCGTGTACAATTTAGCTGCACCTTCCTTTTTCTGCACCTTCCTTTAGCTGCACCTCCTATGCTTTTTCACTTATCACACTAACTCCAACGACTTCGTTCTCTTAAGTCTCAACTTGGAGAGCAGCTGTTCATGGCTTTTAACAAAATTCCTTTCTTGGCTAACTGTAGCTACCTACAGGTCTCGATCAAAATCATAGTTTCTGAAGTCCCAGAGAGGGTTAAAGATGCGCTTTATTCTGATAATGTTGTATAATTTTGATAATACTTTCTTGTTCACAGCCATATAGGCCCTATCGGTTTAAGGTTTAAGGTCTTATGCTTATGCAATAACAATTTGTTGTAAGTAGACAACATCAACCAGTACATCTTTCTGAATTTAATTCCCAATTCTACATTTTTTTTTTAATATGCGCTATGCTGCGTAGCTTTGAATCTAATGTTATACCCAAATATTTTGCCGTATTTGTATAAGGTATTTGGTTCCTGTTTATGGAAATAGGAATATGTTGTTTCCTTTTGTTAGTAAAAATTAACGAACAGATTTTGTTTTCAACATGACACACCATTGCCTGGTCCAGATGTTAATTTGTAGTTTGGTTATTGCATTCGTAGTAATTTCTCCCGACTGTTAAAATGCATGTGTTGTCTATGAATGTCGCAATTGTGTTAGGTTTTAATGTTTTGATATCGATGGTATAGAGCAGATATAGCAGTGGTCCAGGGCATTTTCCTTGTGGAACTCCAGATTTAACTTTTCTTAATTCTGTAAATGCTTCCTCATGATACATATTTCGTCAAAAGCCTGCGCTACGGCGAGAACAATGGCAGAACAGACGTTTCCCTCTTCTAGAGATTTTTCTACTATATTTGTTTTTCTATGCACCTAATCTATCGTTGAATGGCTTTCCCTAAACCCAAACTGATATAAGTAATTAAATTTTTTCCTCTTAAATAGTGAAATAGACCTGTATGAAAAACCCTATTGTGGTTTTTCCGATTTTGATATTATCATGATTTCAGCCACCTTCCACGTCCTTGGTACGTACCTCGGTATAAAGAAAGCATTTATAAAATGTGTTAGTTTTATTATAGCTTTCCTTGGAAGTTGCTTTAACACTTCTCCAATGATGAGATCAAATCCAGGATTTTTTTTTGTTTATATTTTCTTCCATTTCCATATATACCTCTTCTTTTGGAGTTACAGATCTAATCTCAATTTCATTTGGTTGCAGAGTATTTTCTGGATCGTTTGGTCAAATACTTGGGATGTTTGCTAAATGAGGGTTGGGACCCCGAGAATGAAATAAAGAGCAGAATTGAACAAGCCAGAAATGCTTTTTTGAGGCTTCGTAAGTTTCTGACTGATCGCAAATTGGACTTCAACCTCCGATACAAGATGCTTAAGTGTTACGTGTGGCCTGTTCTCCTGTACGGAATGGAAGCATGGACGTTAAAGGCCAGTTCCATTAACAAACTTGAAGTGTTTGAAATGTGGTGCCTGCGTCGAATGCTCAGAATATCATGGACGGACAGGATCAGAAATGAGGAAGTACTCAGAAGAGCGGGCTTACAGGATAGGGAACTTTTTAATTATGTAAAAAGTAAGAAGACTGCATACTTGGGGCACATTATACGAGGAGAACGATACACTTTTCAGCAACTGATACTCGAAGGGAAGATAGAGGGTAGGAGAGGTCTCGGACGTAAAAAAATGTCATGGCTGCGCAATATTCGACAATGGACAGGAATCCACAGCTATGAAATGCTTCGCAATGCTGCTAAAAACAGAATTATTTAATCCAGAATATTTAACATCTCACCTGACAAGACGATGTACGGTGGACGCCTACGCAGAAATGCACGGCACCTTAAGAAGAAGAATCGTTTGGTCCCCTTCCACAGTGACTACTCAGTAGTACATATCTAAGTGATAGTTTAGTTGGATATGTACTAACCGACTCATTTTTAATTCTTTGAATTTATCTTTTTAATTGTTGCGTGGCACTGTTTAATCTATTTTTATTCACTGGTGCTCTAGACTTCTGCAATTTGCGTCTTAGTTTTTCTTTTCTCTATTATTTGTCTGATTTCTTTCGGGTAGTTATTTTCTTTTATTCTTATGACACTTTTGTGTATTTGTTCCAAATTCGTTCATGGATTCACCAAGATAGTGTAGTACTTCTGGCACATTATCATTAAAAAGAATCCAATTATTACCCATAGAGGACTCATTTTCTAAACTGTCTGTGTAGGAATATTGATTATTTGGCCAGTTGTCATCTATTCGAAAAGAATGGAGGAGGAATCTAGATGATGTTATATATTCTTAACCAACAATTCAAAATCTTTTGTATTAAAATAGTACACAAGTTCACAGTTCATTTTATTTTAATTTTTTAAAGTGTCCGTAATTAAAATATTTTGCTGAATGGTTTGATTCGTCTTGGCCATTATGATAAGTTTTCCGTAAGATTTATAGTTCTCCGTGGTAATCTCCACCTGGAAAGAACTTCATAAGTAAGAGAAAAAAAGTGTTTGCTTGTTGCAGCAAATTATGTAAGATTGACTTGTCACTACATTTTTATAACTATAACTAACTTTACGGCCAAGTTTGCATTTCCACGTTTTGTGAAGTCTCGGTATTTAATTGATGAATAAAAAAAATAAAAAATGTTAGCGCGTGAACTGGCCGAACTGACAAAACTTTCCTTCTCATTTCATCCTCTGTTTCAGTCACTATTATAATTATTTCATAGCCAAGCATGTATATTATTTACCATATGAAGATCGATTTCAAGACTCATACTGTAAGCGTAAGTTAAGCCGTTATCTTTAAAGAGCTCTAGCTTACTTTCATATAATTTACATACAACTGATATAGCTTTTATTGTATAAGGAGAGTTTGTGGATCGAATATATAACAATAATTCTAATTTGTATTTATCGTAATATTTTTTCTTCACTTTTTAGAACAACGAATACATCCAGTCGGTTGCTAGATGCCTTCAAATGATGCTCCGAATTGACGACTACCGTTTTGCCTTCGTATCCGTCGATGGAATATCCACTCTGTTGTCCGTACTCTCTGGAAGAGTAAATTTCCAAGTTCAATACCAGCTGATCTTCTGCTTGTGGGTACTCACTTTCAATCCATTGTTAGCCGAAAAGATGAACAAATTCAACGTTATTCCTATTTTGGCAGATATATTGAGCGATTCTGTAAAAGAGAAAGTAACCAGAATCATTTTGGCTGTTTTCAGGAATTTGATTGAAAAACCCGAAGATCAACAAGTTTCAAAAGAACATTGTATAGCTATGGTGCAATGCAAAGTAAGTTACTTTAGATATTATAATCTGCTTTAAAATCATCATCATTATGCATATATATATATATATATATATATATATATATATATATATATATATATATATACGTGACAAGTTTTAAATTAGATAAAATGGTGTTAATTCTGGACAGCAGTGTGTAGATTTATTTTCTGTCATATTTTGTGGGGAGACCCATTCCTTGCGTACAGTCAATTAGTCAATTCATAATATTGTTAAAAATTTTGAAAGTTGTTATTGCCTCAAAACTTGCAGAAAATATCACTCTCAAGAAGTGTCACCAGAAAAAATTGAGGAAAGAGAATACCGTTACACACAAATGTGTGCAACAATCGAGGTAGACTCAACACTTTCAAGTAGAAACGTTGCTAGAGATTTAGATGTTAACAATGTTACTGTAACGAAAGTATGGAAAAAGTACAATTACAAGAATTTTAAATATTCTAAAACGCAGCAGCTTTATCCAGACGACTACTTTCGAAGAATGGAGTTTTTGAAACTCTAATAAAGAAGGCCAATGATGAACCAAATTTTATTAAAAACATTGTATTCGCTGATTCTGTTTCGTTAGTAGCGAGACACAATCCTTCCATTACGAGGTATTTGGCGCGGGAAAACAGCACAGAAGTGTTGTTTACCGAACTCAACGTGCTAAAAAAGGACTGGCATTTTAGGAGACCACATGCCAGTTAGGAGCAACTTCGATTTGTTACAGAATAATTTTTTCCCGCTATTCTCGTGATTATCTTCGTGATGTAAATCTGGAGAATGTGTAACAAAAATGTAAATGGGGTGTAGGACGCTAATGTATAAATTACAGCTGGCTAGCAGAATGTGCCGGAGAGTGACTACTTAACACTCAAAAGAGGATTAGGCCAATTTGCATGCCCTACAGAGACCGTAAAACGAGAAAATGAATGACAAGGTAATAAAAAATATATAGAAATAATGTAAATGAAAATGATAAACTATGGAAGTTGCTCTAAGATGTGATTGGGCGCCAGGAAAGTATTAACATATACTTTCCAAGGTATCTTGTAAAGCTGTTTGCTGAAATAAAAAGTAAAACAGGTATTAATTGAAAGATTTAGTCTTCGCCACAAATTTAAAACCTATTCAAATTCTTACCCAATTCTTACCCCAAAGGTGGCAACGGCGACACTATGTCGCCGCCTGGATGAAATGGAGGATGCAATAGCACTAATCCAAGAACCTTGGATAAATAAGACCAAAATAACTGGTCTTAGCAGCCTAAACGGTCAAATTATCAGCTTACCAAGCAATCAACAACCGAGAACAGCAATATATGTTCCCAGAAAAATCAAAGCCTCCCCCATGGCGCAGTTTTGCACCTCAGACGTAACTGCGGTTAAAGTGAAGTGCCCATGGGGAAAGGGCAAAAATAGAGAGTTGATACTAGCATCAGTCTACCTACCCTCAGATGCAGCCACCCTACCACCAACAAGGGAAATGGAAGATCTGGTAGACCATTGTCTCAGTCAGAAAGTAGAACTTATTATCGGCTGCGATTCGAACTCTCACCACTTAGGCTGGGGCAGCAAAGACAACAACGCTCGAGGTAAGTCCCTTTATGACTATATTATTATAAAAGATTTGTATATCTTAAATAAGGGCACCGAACCTACCTTTATTAATGTTCGTAGCCAAACAGTCATAGATATCACGCTGGCAACAGCTGAAATATCGAATAAGATTCAGAACTGGCAGGTATCGGATAATATTTCTATGTCTGACCACCGCTGGCTAACCTATAATATTAGTCTGGAAAAAAGCCTTGTCAAATCACGCGACCCTAGGAGGACGGATGTAGAACTCTACAACCGACTCTTAGAAGATGCTCTGCGGAATGAAAAGGCTTCAACTCCAGGAACTAATATAGAATTGGAAAGGTATACGGTATCTATCCAAAACAAAATAAGCTATGCTTATAAAAAATCCTGTCCAATAAGGATGGTCCAGGAAAGTCGCAAAACCAACTCTTGGTGGTGCACTGAATTGGAACACCTTAGAAAGATAGCAAGAACAGCTTTTAATAGAGCGAAACGCACCAAACTCAAAGAGGATTGGGATTCTTATCAATCAAATCTCAGAGAGTTTAAAAAAGTCTGCAGACAAAGACAAAGAGCTGCTTGGAGAACCTTCTGTGAGGAAATCGAAGATTTCCCGCAGGCTTCCAGGTTACAAAAAGCGCTCTCAAAGGACCCACATCGGCATGTCGGCATACTAACGAAGGAAGATGGGAACAAAACTTCCAACCTTCGCGAAAGTGCTGAGGTCCTGATGAAAACACACTTTCCCGGTTCTAGTGTCTCAACAGCACCAAACCGGATGGAAGAAACAATCATACCCTCAACAAACGACTGGCATCTCGCCAGAACAATGATTAATGAGGAAAAGGTAAAATGGGCTATATCGTGCTTCACCCCTTTCAAATCACCAGGGCCTGACGGCATATATCCAGCCCTACTGCGGTGGGGACTGGATATCCTTCTGCCGCACCTCGTGGAAATATTCAGAGCCTCTTTGGTTCTGAGATATATTCCTAAGAAGTGGAGAGAGGTACGTGTGGTCTTCATACCAAAACCAGGTAGGATGGACTACACCCTACCAAAGGCTTTCCGACCAATTAGCCTAACATCCTTTCTGTTGAAAACGATGGAGAGGCTATGCGAGAGGTACATAAGGGATGAAGTTCTGGTTCATAACCCACTTCACCCAAATCAACATGCATATACTTCGGGAAGATCCACCGATTCTGCACTGCATCATGTAGTGGGAAGAATTGAAAGATCGTTGGATAATAAAGAATCCACCCTAGGTATATTCATAGACATTGAGGGAGCGTTTGATAAAACCACATTCCCAACTATCACCCAACAGCTCAACGTTAGGAATGTTCCCCTGGCCATAAGCAAATGGATATTTAGTATGCTTTCTAGTAGAGCAATAAGCATAAATGTAGAAGACGTTTCTGTTAGAGGCATGGTTACGAGGGGATGTCCACAGGGAGGGGTGCTATCACCACTACTATGGAACATAGTTCTAGACACCCTGGTTGACCAACTCAACAGCAACGGTTTCTACACAATAGCCTATGCAGACGATATTGCTGTCCTGCAAAGCGGTAAGTTTGAGAACACACTATGTGAGAGATCACAAGTTGCTCTTCGACTAATAGAAACATGGTGCAAGGAACACTCACTATCTATAAATCCTAAGAAAACAGAGATGGTCCTTTTTACCAGGAAAAGAAGAATCACGGGCTTAATACCCCCAAGGATTCTAAACTACAGTCTAAATTTTTCTGACGAGGTGAAGTACCTTGGTATTACCCTCGACAAGAAATTAACATGGAACTCACACCTAGATGGTAGAGCTAAAAGAGCATATATTGCCTATGAACAGTGTCGACGAACGGTTGGACGCACCTGGGGCCTCACGCCCAGGGTGATCGCCTGGGTCTACACCGCTGTCATTAGGCCAATGCTAACTTACGGAGCTATTGCTTGGGTACCAAAAGCGCTACAGGCAACAGCGATTAACAAACTAAACCATATTCAGCGGATGGCTTGCATAAATATAACAGGTGCCATGAAAACAACACCAACTGCTGCAATGGAGTTGATCATTGGCATCACGCCTCTAGACATATATGTCAAAGAGGTGGCTTTAGTGACAATGATGCGACTGCGCTCAGCTGGTGCAAACCTTGATGTAGGAATGGGACAATTGAGAACTCGTTTCTGGCGGGGAGAGCTGGATGCGTTACCAGTACTACAGGCAGGCTGCGACTCAATTGAACCAAAGTTCGTCTTTAACAAACCCTACAAAATTGAAACAAGACAGTGTACGGAGACAAACGTGGCAAATGCCTATTGCATATACACCGATGGCTCCAAAATGAAAGAAGGCTCAGGATGCGGGATATACTCCAGATCACTGAACCTAAGAATAAAGTGGGGTATGGGCAAAAATGCCAGTGTACTTCAGACAGAACTAACTGGTATTTCCATAGCCGCAAAAGAGATAACCCAAAAAGGTATAGCAGGGAAAACTATAATGATCTGCACAGATAGCAGACAAGCGCTACTAACCTTGAATAGACCACGTGTCACATCAGGTTTAGTAATGGAGTGTCACGAGTCATTAACTCAAGCTTCGGATGGTAATACCATCATCCTGAAGTGGGTTAAAGGACACAATAGGAATAAAGGCAACCGCATTGCTGACCAATTATCTAGGAAGGCGGCAGGCCTAAGACTCCTAGGACCTGGCGATCTTTTTGGTTGGTCAACTACAACAATCGCGGAAATTGTCAAATGTCACTCCCATACGCAAACCGTAAAAAGATGGGAAGAAGGGAAAGGATGTAGACTTGCCAAGTTAACACTAAGTAACCTTGAAGAGTCAACATCAAAGAAGTACTTGGGAATGACCAGGAAAAATCTACGTTTGGCAGTTGGTTTTTTAACTGGTCATTGTCAACTAAGCAAACACCTCCACACACTGGGGCTAGTAGACACACCTCTATGTAGGAAGTGTGAACGAGAAGACGAAACTGTAGAGCATGTCCTATGTGAATGCCCAGAGTTATCGTTAATACGAGAGTACGCGTTCGGCGAGTCCTGGCCTACACCTGCCCACATAAGTGAGATGTCTCCTGGTGACTTGTCCACCTTCCTAGAAATGGCAGGATGGACAATGAGCTAAGGGTGACAGCTCCCTGGGAGGATGCACAATGGGTCAATTGTGGCCTAAGTGCTGTGAAACTTAACTCGCCCTCCCTACTCTACAGATACAGAGAGGAGCAACTTCGATTTGTTACAGAATAATTTTTTCCCGCTATTCTCGTGATTATCTTCGTGATGTAAATTGGAGAGAATGTGTAACAAAAATGAAAATGGGGTGTAGGACGCTAATGTATAAATTACAGCTGGCTAGCAGAATGTGCCGGAGAGTGACTACTTAACACTCAAAAGAGGATTAGGCCAATTTGCATGCCCTACAGAGACCGTAAAACGAGAAAATGAATGACAAGGTAATAAAAAATATATAGAAATAATGTAAATGAAAATGATAAACTATGGAAGTTGCTCTAAGATGTGATTGGGCGCCAGGAAAGTATTAACATATACTTTCCAAGGTATCTTGTAAAGCTGTTTGCTGAAATAAAAAGTAAAACAGGTATTAATTGAAAGATTTAGTCTTCGCCACAAATTTAAAACCTATTCAAATTCTTACCCACCACCATATTTATGTACAGTTAACCTAGTTACTTATACACTAAAAAATTCCCTGGTTATCTACAATTAATCCTTGATAATCTGAATTTACAAATAATAAAATATAAGAAAAATTTTAATGATTCGACTTAAAAAGGTAATTTACTTGCCTACTAGAGATGTAACTCTGTACTTCAGCTTTCAATTAAATGTTCTAATAAAGTAATGAGGACACTATCCTGAAGGGATAGATGTCCAAAGTTTAAATATATAATAATAAAATATCAATAAAGAACTCTCTGATTAAATGTGTACACATAAAACCGTACAATAGAGTTGAAAGGGGGGATTTAAAACCTCAACCTGTAGTTGACACTCAGTCCTTAAATATTTGTTAGTATTATTTTAGAAAAAATGACGGGTTTTTATTATTAGGTGAAAGTAGTACGATTTAAAGTAAAAAAGATATAAAAAAATTAAAATTAATGAATAAACTTAAGAATAAACAGAAGAAACTTAAGAATAAACTAATACAGATTTACAATTTTCCAAACTCTAAATGAGAAAGAGACTTCCGGCAGGTTTATTGACGTTGTCCGGGAATAGTAATGTAAGATCTTGACCTCTGAGGGGAACAGCTAAGGCAGAGGTGAATCAACACTGGAACTAGGTGTAACTCCGACTAGGGAATAACTTATCCCTTCTTCTTTAAAAAAAATATCCCATAAAAAACAAAATAAGACTTCTTCCCCTTGACTCCTGCTTGATTCCTATAGTAGGCGGCTCAGAGTGACTACAAACCAAACGGACACTCAAAAAAAAACCAAAACTTTCTGCAACTTCTTCCCAAAAAACATATTCTAAAAAAACTTATGTCATCTCTGGCCACCTACTTTTACCACTCATTTCTAGTCAGCTAAGCATGTTTGCCAAAATGGCCGCTTGGAGTCGCTGTTTAATACCAACTTAGAATTTAAAAATTAAGAAAATATTAAGAGGATATGGATTTACAAATTTTATCTAAAGTGATTAAAGAATTATTGAAGTGACGGACTCGTTACAAATGTTTGGTTCATCAAGATGGCTGTTCAGTTCACAACGCTCGAATAATTAGGGAGTACTTAAACAACACTTTCCCGAATCGAGTTATCAGTAGAACAGGCGATAATAATTAGCCTGCGCGATCTTCAGATCTCACACCTATGGACTTCTTTTTTTTTGTGGACATTTAAAAAGCACCATCTACGATCATCCTGAGGCTAGAGCCCTAAATTTGGATGAATTAAAAACCGAATAAGAGAAGTCTCCAATTCTGTTACAGCAGAAACTCTTTCATCTGTTCGCAGAAGTTTTTATGACACATTGGGATACTGTTCAGCCGTAGAAGGTCAAATATTAGAATCATTTGTGTAGGGGATAAATAATTATTTCTAATTTTATTAGGAATTATTTTTTATTTTCAATACGAATATATTTTTTGTTTTATCTTTTTAAAGAAATGCGCTTTTATTTTTAATTCAAACACAAAAAATTGTTCACATTATTAAAAACCGATACAAATGCACTGCATTAGAAAGCTCAGTGTATTTTTATCGAGTTTATGTAGGAAGAAATGAACCGGGTATACGTATGAAAACAAAAATCGAAGGACGGAGGTGTATATTTCATGCATTGTTATGTTACTAAATGGTTTCCGTTTTCTCGTTTTCTGTTTAGGATTCGGACGGGATCAGAGAATTACAATTAAGTAGAACTTAGAGACAATGTTGCCGCTAATCCAAAACTTAACGTAGTATATATATTTTATTAGGCGTTACGCACTTCCGGTAGGGATATATCTCTATATCTATCAATCTCCCCATCTCTTGTCATACTATTCAATCATAAGTCAATCAAATACACCAGCGTGATCCAGTCAAGTAGCAGATTTGTTTAGAATTTTAAAATAATACCGTTAGGCTTTTGTCTTTATGTCCCATGCCAGGGCGCCAACCATCTTCCGCTAAACCAATTCGACAGTGAACATAATGCTAGTCTGCCGTCTGCCCCGCTTGACTATCTGATCGATTGTTTTTTGTTTTCTTAATCCAAATTGCAGTAAAATACCACTTTAATTTCTGGCTTTGGTTATTACAATCGTGGTAACTGTCATATTTGTCTCAAATTGCACGCAATAATTCTCAACGTGCCGAAACTACTAGAATAACGTCGCGACTGAAATTAGGTTTTTTGAATAACCCTTCAAGTCAATGTTGCCAAATTACGTATAAAAACTTTCTTTGGGATCCAAAGAGTTTTCATTAGTGGATAAGTCTCATTTATACGTATTTTCTGTTTATATCACTTAATTTTATTTAATCAGTTTCACTTAATATTTATAATTATTTACAGGTATTGAAACAATTGGCCATCTTAGAACAACGCAAGTTCGATGATGAAGATGTGACATCCGATGTTGAATTTCTAACTGAAAAACTACAGAGTTCTGTCCAGGATCTGAGTTCGTTCGATGAATATTCAACTGAAGTAAGTATACGTATTTGATTTGGTTGGGAATAAGTTTTATATTTAGGGGTTTACTAATTAATTAGTAGTTCATGATATATCTAGCCAGTTCAGAATTAAATTTTTCTTAATACCAATTATTAGTTAATTATTATTAATATTAAGTCAACAAAAGTGTTTCGGAAGTTTTTATTCCGTAACAGTTTTAGGAGATATTTTTATTTTGTCTTAATTGATTTAGTAACAGATATATCAAGTTTAATTTAAAAGATATTTACACAAATGCAATTGAAAGTTAATAACTTTTATCAACATTATTACTTGGTCGTTAAAAGTATTTTTACATCTTGTAACAACTCTGAGCTTTTTCCAGATGCCAGAAAACCTAACTTTTAGCTTTGTGTTTATATTTTGAAAAAAAAATGGATTTTGTAAATCTGTTATTACTCAATAAACTCTTGTGTTAGGATAAATATGTTTTAATTTTATTACAATTAAAACCACTGAACCTTTTTTGGAGCAGGTAAACGATGGGGTCTATATTTATACGACTTTTACTGTTGCAACCAATTACAGCACATTTAAAATATTTAAATTTCTTAAGAAGTTAATTTTTTTCATTGATATATAGTATTTCATTAGAGAACGACATTCTTGACAGAAAAACCGAAGTTTTCTATATAATATAATGTAAACTGCAACAGAGTAGGACTCGACGGCAGTCATGACACTTTGGAAATGTGGATTCTTCTTCTTCATGTACCATGTCCTTTCAAAACGTTGGTTACCATCATAGCTATTTTAATTTTATCCACTGCCACCCTAAATAGCATGCTTGTATCTACACCACACCAATCTCGCAAGTTCTTCAACCATGAGGTTCTTCTTCGTCCTGGACTGCGTTTGCCTGCTAGTTTTCCTTGCAGATATTTTGTAGCAATCTATATTTGGGACCTCTACATTACATGTCCGAAATATTCCAGCTTTCTCTGCTTGATGCTTTTTATGATCTCAATCCGTAATCCCCAAATGTGGATTACAGGTTAGTAAAATACATGATCTCTTGTGAGACATCAGACAGACCATTCGAACAATACAGGTTAGACGAGAAGAACAACGATATTGTCCTCAATTTTTTTAAAGCTTAAAGGTCTAGCAACAGTTTTAAGTTTCTATTTTTGAGGACTATCAAACATTTTATTTATTACAACAAATAGTTGTCCTTTTCATCCTCTTCCGCTATTGGTGCCAGCCTCTCTTCACCTATATCATCCTTGGTAAATATAGGTGTAGGCTCAACTACCTTAATTTACCTTCTATTATAACACGTATTTTTCTATTGTTCTTCCCATGAGTTGGGTCGTTTCTTCGGTTCAGCGAGGGCAGATCTACTTTTCTTCCTGGCCCTACACCCTTTGGGCACAATGGTGTTACACCTTGAGTTTTTCATGGCAGTGTAATAGAAAGCCACCTGTTCTGTGCACATTACCTCACTGGCATTTTATATTAATGGAGGTATCTTCTCAGGTATAGGTTTAAGTATCAAGACGTGAATAATGGGTAGGGGTTAGTGTCGTATGTTAGTTGAAAGTATGCACTATCACGGAAATAGGTTAGTAAATTCGGTAGTGGACAGTCGTTCCAATTGGTCGAACTGTTACGACAAGCAGAAAAAGTTCTCAAGATATTCTACCTTAGCTGCGCATCCACGCCACATATTAATCTGTAACTCGACCCAAATTAACCAAGACACATGTAGTCATTTAATTTCACTCTCTTGTATTACATATCCTAACCCATAGCTATTCACATACAAAGATTAAATTGCAAATTGTATCACTTCTCTCAAAGTCTACTTAAGTCAACAAATTAATAAAATCTTCTTTTTTTAGGTCAAATCTGGACGTTTAGAATGGTCTCCAGTACACAAGAGCAAGTTCTGGCGGGAAAATGCGCAGCGTCTCAACGAGAAAAACTACGAATTACTCCGTATTCTCATTCATCTGCTAGAAACCAGCAAGGACCCCTTGGTATTGAGCGTAGCTAGTTTTGATATTGGAGAGTATGTTCGTCATTATCCTCGCGGCAAACAGTAAGTATTCTTCAATTCGTTGATTGTTAAATATTAATTTTTCGTTTTTTTTAATTGGTCTATGTAAAGCTAGGAAACGAAAATAACATTCATCAAGATAAGAAGCTGTCGGCTTATGTTAGCACACTTTTAGAAAAATTTTCGGTTTTCTAGAATCTAACGTCATCCGGTAGGGATCAGTTAATGCTATTACTGAAGCGTGAGCCTGTATGTTTCATTTATCGACTGACTTGATATACTCGTGACTACCGATTGAAAGTCGAAGTTTCACTTGAGATTAACGTCTGAAATTAAATTTTCTGAATAGAGCGGGGTTTTAACCAGAAACTCATATTCTATACACTTCAAAGTGTTCCTGCGGACCAACCCAGACATTGGTAGGTAGAAAAGAAAAGACTTACTCACAATTGCGTTTATTGTAACTTGGACATTAGATCTCTGGTCGTTAGACCTCTTTGTATGATTATTGGTTAGGTAACCTTTTATCGGAGACCTGAAGATAAGCTGAAATTGTAGTCCGAAACAGGTCCAAGTTACAATGAAACCAATTGTGAGTAACTGTTCTTTTGTTTTTTTTACCTACTAATAATTTTAATTTATTTGGAAAAGTAGGTGTGGTTTCTGATACACTTTGGGATAGTTTATCGCCAATGTAAATGCATTCGAAGTGGTCGAACTTTATATGCAGTTGGTATCGAACGACAGAAATTTTGACATATTTGACCTATTATTTCAGTTAGCTATGTTGAAAAGTGTTTGGCATGACATCAAAGAATATAGACGCATATAGAAGGATCTTTCACTGTAATTTGTTAGTAATACCTAATATTAATCTTTCCATAGGGCGTTGTGTAACTCTTATTTTATCTATTGTTCTTTTTGTCAGAATCAGTGTTTCTGCACCATATGTAAGAACTGATAAAACGCACTGGTTAAAAACCTTTCTTTTTAAACAAACTGGGATACTAGACTTGAAAATGTTATTCAATCTACCAAAGGCAGCCCATGGGAGACCTATCCTTCTTTGTATTTCATTTGATTATCTCGGCCTAAGCGAATTTCATGGCCTAGATATTTGTAAGTTATTACTTGGTCGATGCTATGGCTCTCAATCAGAATTTTACCGCTGACGACAAGGTTGGTCATAAATTTTGTCTTTGAGGTGTTAATTGTAAGACTGCGTGTGCAGCATTTTTGTAGTTTTATCAACTCTATCAGATATTAAAAGGATGTCATCGGCAAATCTTAGGTGGTTCAGATCTTCCCCATTTATATTAATTCACATATTATGCTCTCGTTCCAGCATACGCTGTACCAGTTTCGTAAATACTTTTAATTAAGGCGATATGTCGGTAGTCAATGCGGCAGTCAGCCAATGCTCGAAGCATTTTATGATGATCTATAGTATCGAACGCCTTTTCATAATCTACGAATATAAGAAAGATAGGCTTGTTATACTCTGTACACTTTTCTATTAGCGTTTTTATAACTTGTAGATGATCATTTGTTCCGTATCTGGAGCGGAACCCAGCCTGTTTACAAGGTTGGTAACTATCCAGTTTCTTCACAAGCCGTTTTGTTCCCCATGATACCCTAATCAAGGGTATCTGACTCAAAATTGTCTGACCGTTCTTTCGGGCTGTTCGCCCTGAACAGTACCTAAATAAACCAGATTGGTGGATTCTGCCCTTCTTCATGAAGACAGTTTCTCCAGGTGGACGAACTTCGGTTTACTCCGTGGTGTCAGTTGCACCCTATATACAAGCTCGTTGATCTTCTTAGTGACCAGGTACAGTCTCTTTCAAGGCCGCTGCTGGTGTGTACTGCTGACACGTTTTCTTCTCTTTTGGTCACTCTTATAACTGACTCGCATATTCCAAGTAGTTGGCCTTTGTTGAGAGTGATTTTGTTGTCATTTGGGTTTTTTACTCTTACTGGAACTGTCTTCTTCTCCCACCTACCAAACATCTAGCCATAGTGACACCGCGATGGCCCTGCTCTTTTGGTTCTAATAACATGGCTCCCACGCCACCAGATCCATCAATTTGTGAGTTTTCGCTGTTAAGAGGAATCTTTGTGTCAGAGGCATAATCTTAGACAAGAAATAGTATTTTATTTACAATTCCACTATCAAATACCAAACTAATAAAGAAAGTTGCAACTAAGGTAAGGTTTCCGTTTTGACGATAAATCAAAACTAAACACACTTTAACTTAAAAGAACTCACAAAAACTCAAACCAAATGTTCTACATGGTCTCCTTCGATTTCTATGCCTTTTCTAATTCTTTTTAGATTTTCGGACGTTAAAAAAAATTATTCTGTCCCCTAATAAGATTAGCTGCATTTTGAATGTATCTCCAAAGTTCGTCTCGTGTATTAATTTCATTGGCATAAACTAAGGACTTCATATGTCCTCAAAAATAAAAATCTAGCAGGTTGTACTCAGGACTTCTTGGTGGCCATTAATAATGACTGCCTCTGCCAATCCATCGTTAAGAAAATACGTCATTAAGATGATTTCTAACAGCTAATGAAAAATGAGGTGGCGCTCCATCCTGCATAAACCACATTTTTCTTCTTACATTTAGTGACAGATCATCTAAAATATCACTAAGAGTATTTTCCAAAAAGAATAAATAGGAATCTCCATTTAAATTCGGAGGAAGAACATAAGGCTCTAGTAGTTGGTCGCCTATAATGCCACACCAAATATTCAATTTAAACTCATGCTGAAAATGTCTAGCTTTAATAGCATGCGGGTTTTCTTCTTTCCAATCATGACTATTTGCCAATTAAAAACCCCTCGTCTGGTAAAAGTTGCTTCGTCGGTGAACATAATATTCTTAATAAAGTGTCTGTCATTGCGATGTTTATTCAGAATACGTTGGCAAAACTGTAACCGTCGTGGAATATCTGTTGGAAGTAAATTTTGAACAGGAGTTAAGTGATAAGGATGGAGGTTTTCTTTTTTTAGAATTCTAACAATAGACGACTGACTTACTCCTGTTGCTGCTGATAGATGTCGTGAACTTATTTCAGGGTTTTCATCTACTCGAACCAAAAGTTCATCTTCTTGATTAGGTGTGATTTGTTTCGGTCGACCACCCCGATTTTTAGTGTGAAATGACCCAGTTTCACCCAAACTACTATATAATCTTGCAAAAGTTTTGTGATTTGGTTGCCTTCTGTTTGCGTATAACATTCCATACCTTCTGGCTGCCGAGCGACCGCAAAAATTTTCTTGTGCGTATACGCAAATTATATCTCGCATTTCATCATCAGTAAAATGATTGTGACGAGGCATTTTAATCAAAAAAAGTAATGATTACTTTTAAAAAATGCAACATTACACTACACTGTCATATCAAAAATAATTTACTCTGAACAAATGACATTTACCAACAACAATTATCTGACAGTCCAAAGCATACTTTTCATAAATGAAATAATATTTGAAATCCTTTTTTAAGACTCTAAGCAGTTCGACTGCGTTTTTATCGAAAACGGTTGAAATTATCAAGTTTAAAACAATAGTACCAATTTTACGTCATATTTTCTAATAAAAATTACTAAAAAGTTTGATTAGAAAAAGTTTAGACTCAATTTGATCATTGGGAATGATCCACGTGGCGCCCTCTATGACAAAACGTAAAATTGTAAATAAAATACTATTTCTTGTCTTTATTTCATATTATGCCTCTGTGCCAATTTTGATAGCAATTTATAAATATACAGGGAAACTATTAGCAAAAAATGAAAAACAAAAATTAACTTTAACACCCTGTATCTTTTTTCTCGGCAACATTTTATTAAGGCATATTTGGCCCAATAGCCATATTTTGGTCCAAATAACCTGTCCTTAGTCTATGTCCCAATAGTGATGACTCACCCTGTATATATAACAGTATATATTTTCATTCCTGTTCTCTTATATTCAGTTATTTCTTTTAAACACTGTGTTTCTCTTTAAATATCGAAAATTATTTATCCTAAAATCTGTTCTTTCTAATACCATAAGAGATCGTGTTGATAAACTGTCATGATTATCTGTTCCCCAAATCCCCAAAACATTTATACAAGATACAGATATTTTTAGATCTTTGCAGATAACTGACAACCGAAAGTCATGTTGTATGTTGGCTATAATAACTCCTACATACGGAAAACTATCTTATTCAGTTCAACAATATTTTAGGCGGATCTAAAAAATGTTTTTGAATGTCAAGTGATCTCACCAACAACTATTTCATATTTTGAGTATATTTTTTAAAGTTGATATATTATTAAAGTACAATAACAATGACACTAATGCATAAATATTTTCTTTCTATTTTCACAACTTAATCCTTTTTATTTTTTTCGTAGCATAATCGAGCAATTGGGAGGAAAGCAATTAGTTATGCAACTCTTAGCCCACGAAGATCCTAATGTACGATATGAAGCTCTGTTGGCAGTCCAAAAATTGATGGTCCATAATTGGGAATACCTTGGTCGTCAACTTGAAAAAGAGCAGAGTACAGATAAAAACGCGCCAAAAGGTGGAGCTCCTGTCGCAGGCAAGGCGTAAATACTACATACCATCAAGAGTATTTAAAGATATTTACTGCAATAATTGTAGAAAATTTAAAAATAATTGTAAAAATTATATCGATTTCTGTACATAGCTGTATAGGTATACATTCCTGTCATATTTTATTATTGTTACGATAACCAATAATCAACCATGCACATTTTAAACATTTAAAAATATTGCTTTTAAAGTAACTTTTTCTGATTGTTAGTATTATAATAAAGTATATGTTGTCGTTTTATTTTGATTTCATTACTGTTTATTGTATTTTCTAGACTTGTACTTCTGAAAATGTTGAGATAAATAATAGCATAGGATAGGCAGAGCTTGAGCATATCAAAAGATATGTCACACTACTTCTTAATAAGTTAGCTGCAGGCTTGCTTGATTCTAAAAAAACGAAATGGTTTGTTTTCCTAGCGATTTATTGTAAATAAACTGTTTTTGTAAATTTATTGGTGGTAACACTTTTTCAAAAGAGAAAACAATGATCATAGAAATTATACTCGGTTCGCTATTCCCACTCCGAACTGTCTAGTGAATTTAGTAATTATTTTTTTGCGAAGTTAGTTACTTTTGACAGACTAAAAGTTGCTGGAAATTACTATACAGCCAAGCACACGTACTCATAGCCAATATTAATAGTAAACAAACTAAATAGTTAATAAAATAGAACTTTGTGAATTACCGACAATCAATATTTATTTATCTGCACCATATAGTAAATAATTATGTTAAATTATAACAACTAAAATATATTTTTTTAAATATATAGTACCCAAAATTTGATGGGTTTAGTATACACTTCCATTATTTAGAATAATTCTTCATTTTTTCAAAAAAAAAAAAGAAGTCTACAATAGTAGTATACTTGAGCTATTAATACTGAGAAGTAGGAATTGTTGTGTTGTAGGTTTCCGACAATGAATCTGTCAAAATATGCCCGAGCTGAGCGAATGGAGTATATCATTACAGCACTTATATATTACTAGCACTCAGACTTAACCAAGAAGGAGGGAAATAAAGCATTACAAAATCAAATTTATTAAATGGAACGTGAAACATTTACTTAAAGCATCGAGTTAGAAGCTATGAGCATATTAACGTGTATATTAAAAACGACGTCAGAAGGTGTGGCTAACGATCATGGCAATATGGCGGTAGGATCAGGGCCTTACTCAATAATATTAAAACTACTATACAATTATTATGACTATGGTTTGTTTTTTAACCAAGAGGAGTAATTCTAATTTACCGCGCCGTAATGCTTGTTTATAATTAGTCCAATCGCAGGCAAGTTTACTCTACTAACTTATGACATTTATGGAATTTTAAATTTTAATGAAAAAAATATCCCGGAATTTGATTCTGTTAAGGTTTAATTATATACAATTACTAATAAATAAGACAAAAATACATATATACTTATAAAGTAATTATTAACAATATTCTTCGGCTTTTTATCATCGTACTTATATTATCAACTGTCCATCGTCCATAAAAAATTACTATTATAAGACGATAAATCACTAAACTGGAGTCGGTAGTATCTCTGATTATAAAACTTTCGACTTCTGGTTGATTTGAGATGAAATCTAAAAATACAATTATATGCATCACTAAACATTAATAACAAATTTATATTTTATATAAAAAATATGATTAATGAACTGAAAAATATTATAAAAAGCTTAGAAATTGTTTATTAGTATCTTTATATTCTGTGTATTCATCATTTCTATTTTATTAGAAAATGATGTTTTAATTGCTATTTTGTAAACTTTTCAAAATATTCAATGACTGAAAAATAATCAAGAGACTGATCTACGGTACTTATAAGATTTTTTATGAATACTATTAATTAATTCTCTGAAGTACGGGCCATTTCTTTGTTTACATATTTGTATACTAACCTATCCAACGTTATTCCTGAAGATTTTTTATTAACATTGCTACTGCAACTACGTTGAGAACAAGAAACTATTATGATGCACTAGCATCATTATCATTGGTGCTACAGCCCTATAAAAGAGCCTCGACCTTCCATGGCGAATGACCTCTCTATTACGCCAGTCAGTTCTATCCATTGCCAACTGTTGCCAGTTTGCTGCGCCTATTTTTCTACCATCCTCATCTACACCATCCCTCCATCTGAGTTTTGGCCTACCCCTACTTCTACTTCCCACAGGTTGTGACATAAGGATTCTTCTAGGAGGGTTGTTCTGCTGTGATCTTGCCAGATGTCCTGCCCATCTTAGTCTTCCTATTTTTATAAGAGATACTACGTCTTTACCACCAAATATATATTTATATCTGTGATATATCTCATAGTTGTACCTCCTTCTCCAAACACCATTTTCACAGATGCCACCGAATATTCTTCTCAGGATCCTTCGTTCAAATATAAGCAGGAGGTTTTCATCTGCCTTGGAAATGGTCCATGTCTCCGATCCATATGTCAACACTGGTTGTATAAGGGTTTTGTATATGGTTATTTTTGTTTTTTGGCTTAAGTTTCTGCTTCATATGTCTACTCAATCCAAAATAGCATTTGTTTGCTAGGATTATTCTTCGCTTGATTTCTTCCGTCATGACGTTCTCCTTGGTGATCAGGGAGCCTAAGTATGTGAATTTGTCCACCACTTCAAAGGTAGAGTTATCAACAGTGAATTGGTGGCCGATGTTTCTGGCTCTATTGTTGGGTGTTGATGCCATTATCTTAGTTTTCTCCTCATTTACTTGCAGGCCCATATTTTTTGAGGCATTTGACAAGGTGGTATACATTTCTTCTAGTTTGCGTGTTGTGCGGGCAACTAGGTCAACATCATCTGCATATGCCAAAATTTGGGATGATTTATTAAAAATGTTTCCTCTGTTGTCTATTTGGGCATCCCTGACCGCCTTTTCCAGAGCTATGTTGAAAAAAGGAGACACGCCAGCGCATCTCCCTGTCGCAGCCCAACATGCGTTTCAAATGCCTGTGATTGTTCGCCCTGTATTTCGACTTTGCAAACAACTTTACGCATTGTAGCCTTAACCAATCTTATCAGTTTATCGGGGATGTGGAATTCATCCATGGCTTCATACAATTTATTTCTTAGGACACTATCATAGGCCGATTTAAAATCTACGAAAAGATGGTATGTGTCGATATTGAATTCATTGGTTTTTTCCAGTATTTGCCTTAGCACAAAGATCTGGTCTGTTGTTGATCGACCAGGCCTAAAACCACTTTGATATTCGCTAAGAAGCTCCTCTGAATATGCACTCAGGCGACTATATAAAATACTCGGAAAATATTTTGTATGCTGTATTAAGAAGGTTTATTCCCCTATAGTTTCTACATTCCAATTAATCACATTACAGAGCAAGATACTCCAGCGGCATCTTCAGTTGTTATGTCATTGATGGATGGACTCTTGGATTCGAAACGTAATTGTAAATACATAATATAATGAATATAAATATTGACATTTCGTTAATCAAATTGCCAGCTAAAAAAATCATCAAAGCTACTAGCCCATAACATTTAATTTTTGCAGTTGATGTATAAGCACCTCGTGAAAAATCTGGGATTTTAATCAGATCAATAATGGTAATTGTAACGATTTACAGTTCCATTTATGAAAAAGGATTAAGGAGGTTTATTCCCCTATAGTTTCTACATTCCAATTGATCACCCTTTTTGTGTAGCTAGCAAACGATCCCAATACACCACTCTTCCGTAATTTGTTCCTCATTCCAGGCTCTCAGTATGATTATTATATATATATATATATATATATATATATATATATATATATATATATATAAATATATACCATATACACCAATAAAACATGCCATCAATCAAGTTTTACTATTTTTACAACAAATTTTAAAAATTTTATGATTTATTATGTCCATAATTGTATATTTTAATGTGTGGTATAAATATTGAGTGTTCAATGCTTACAAAAATAATCTCAACGACTAGTAAGTTACACTGAAGAATTGTGATATTTTTTAAATATTTACATTAATTGTCTTTTACAGTGTCTTGAAAAAGGAATAAAAACCATTCCGAAAGCTCGACAAAAAGTCCAAAAGAGTGTTGTTTTTTAACATCCCGGCCAATATTATGACTGCAACCCTAATAAAACTGTGTTGTTTGGTTATATATATATATATATATATATATATATATATATATATATATATATATATATATATATATATATATATATATAATTATATATATATATATATATATGATTAGTCAGAGTAGCACCTCCACATTTAATAAGTTCCGCGGGGTATACCATCATTTCCTGGAGATTTATTATTTTTTAGGTGTTTTATTGCATCCCGCACTTCTTGAATTGATGGAGGCTCCAATGCTGTATTGTTGCTTGCTCCTGGGGGTGGTTGATTTGGATGTTCTATTTTCGATAGTAAGTAGTTCTTTATAGTGTTCCACCCAGCTTTTCAATACTTCATCTTTTGTATTGAGTATATGCCCTTCCTTATCCTTGCATAGTCCGATCCTTGGTTTAAATTCTTTTCTTGCATTATTCAGATTTTTATACAATTTTCTTGTTTGATTTTCCTTTTTTAATGCCTCAAGCTCTTCCAATATTCTATTTTCATAAGTTCGCTTTTTTCTCCGATGGATGTACTTCTCTTCTGAGATCTTTATATTTTTGTTCTTTTTCTAGGGTTCGTCTTTGCTGCATCAGTTTAATATGCCTTTTTCTTTCTTCTTGTAATGTCCTCGCACTCAGCATCGAACCACTCATTGCGTGGTGGTGCTCTTTGCGGCCCTAGAATATTATTTGCTGCGTCTTTAATATAATTTTTACACATTTCCCATTGTTCACTAATTGTTAGATTCTCTTCAGTTATGTATTTAATTTCGATATAGTTTTGAAACCTTTCTACTGTTTGCGGATTTTTGAGGAGTTAATTTTAATACAGCTTGTTTTGGTACTTCTCTCCTTCTTCGCATTTGAGATTCTAACCCGAATTCTTGTGCCAATTAGAAAATGATCTGAATCAATATTGGCGCCTCGATAGGTGGGGACATCCTTAAGGTTGGAGAAGTGTGTAGCATCTATGATCACATGATCAATTTGGTTCTTCGTTAATCCATCAGGCGAGGTCCAAGTATCCATGTTTTTTTTTGTGTAGAAAACGTGCTTCCTACGATCATGTTCTTTGAGGCTGCGAAGGTGACTGCTACTGCAACTACTTTCAGAACAAGAAACTATTATTATGCACTATCACAACATAATATATTACAGTTACTATAAAAGTATTAAAACTAAACTACTAACTAACTAAAAAATATTCTAAAAACAGCTAACGTAAACAATCACCCACGATCTGGCACAACGATCATAAAAGTATGGCCGAAGTTAGGTCGTTTTTAGTCACGTGATACCCTATCCATAGATTCTAACTCGATGACTTAAAG